TACCAGCAGGGATTGTAGGTGGGGGAAATGTACAGTGCTCTCTTCCACCTTCAATACCACGACTGAGGTACCCTTGAGCAAGGCACCGAACCCCCAACTGCTCCCCAGGCTCACAGTGTGTGTGTGTTCACTGCTGTGTGTGTGCACTTTGGATGGGTAAATGCAGAGCACTAATTCCGGCACTAATTCGCCACCATACTTGGCCACATGTCACTTTCACTTTTCACTTCCCATTGACAACTTTCTGGCCTTTCTGGCAAGATTTTCCTCAAGAATTTGACAGTATTTTGCCCCATCCATTTTTCCTTCTATCTTGACAAGTGCTCCAGTCCCTGCTGCAGAGAAACACCCGCATAACAGGATATTACCACCTCCGTGCTTTACTGTAGGAATGGTGTTTTGAGCTGTATTGGATTTCCACCACACATTTTGTTTCAAACTTTTTTACATTTTAATCTGGACTACAACATGCCCTAGATATTGTTTGAAAATGCTTGGATTCTGTATTGTTCAGTCACACTTTACATTAAGGCCCCATTAGTTAACATTAGTACATTTATTAGTAAAACATAAACTGCCAATGAAAAATTATTCTAAACATTCATTAATCTTAGTTAATTTCAATATTTAATAACACGTCGTTAAAATCAAAAGTTGCTACTGTGTTATTTAATGAAATCGAGCTAACATGAACTAACATGTAGCTATTGCTCATTGTTAATGTTAGTGCATTAACTAAGGTTAACTAATGAGATTCTATTGTAAGTTGTTACCAATTGGTCTTTATAGTTCTTTTGCACTTTAATCTGTGTGAAATTATTTACTTTATACATTTTTTGTGTATTGCTTTATTGTATTTAAATGTTCAGTTTCTTTTTTTTATAAGAAAAAAGTTATTAAACCTGTTATACTTTACGACAACACTTTTTTGCAACTAAATTTCAATATCGTGATCGTGAAAATTTGATACCGTCACATGCCTAATTTGCCCACTCTTCTTTGCAGAACTGCTCAAGTTCAGTTCAATTTTATGGTGAGTGTTTGTAGACTGCAGTCTTCAAGTCATTCCACAGATTTTCAATGGGGTTTAAGTCTGGGCTCTGACTAGGTCATGCAAGGACATTCAGCTTTTTCTCCTTCAACCACTGTGTGCTCAGTTTTGCTGTGTGCTTTGGGTCATTCTCATGTTGGAAGGTAAACCTGAAGTCGTGAAACTTCAGGTTGGGGGAAGTCGTGGCCTAATGGTTAGAGAGTTGGACTCGTAACCCCAAGGTTGCAGGTTCGAGTCTCGTACCAGCAGGGATTGTAGGTGGGGGAAATGTACAGTGCTCTCTTCCCCCTTCAATACCACGACTGAGGTACCCTTGAGCAAGGCACTGAACCCCCAACTGCTCCCCGGGCGCCGCAGCATAAATGGCTGCCCACTGCTCC